CGTATTCATTGCTTAGTTTGCTGTATGCTCTTTTCGGAGAAAATATCTTTACACAGTGCCGACAATAGGCAACCTTCATGCATTTCACTTCCGAAAAAAAACTTTCTCTGTTCGCCAACTCCACCACCACCACCATCGCTACCACCATCATCATCATCATAAATGTGTACACCAAATGTTTTTGTTGCGCTTTACGTTGCTTTGCAACTTGCCCTCTGCATTGAGACTTTTCGTCAATGCCAGTCTGTCTCTGTTCCTCTTACTCTCTCCCTTTCTCTTTCGTACCGAGTAAAGGAAACCCAAGAATGAAAAGCAATGTGGAATATTTACCATTTTCTTAGCTCTCTATGCTATACTCGCTTTTCTCTTTTTCATAATGTTACGTTACCGTGTTTTTTTTTTCGTCGTCATCGTCTTCTACTTGCTTCTCGCTCTTGTTTGGGTTCGCTGTGTATATGCGTGCGTGCAAGAGTGCGAAAGACTATTGCATTTGTATTTGTAGCAATATGTCAGTACATAAAGAATGTGAGCACATTTGTTATTCTTGAGTGTGGGTGCAATTTACCATCTTTTGCTCAATATGAGGCGCTTTCTCTCTCTTTCTCTCCGTGTGTGGTTTTATCAACGTTGAAACATGTTCGCCTTTTGCCTTGCCGTTCAGATGCGATCGAAATTGTGCACAAGGCACGGAGAGAAGCCGAAGCACACGATATACCCAAATGATTTAACAACCAGGGCTATATGTGACAACAGTATCACCGACGAAGAAGGACTGTTAAACGTATACCACCACCACCACCACTACCAATACAAGTTCACTCGTTCGCTGCCTCACACACACATATATACACGCAAACCGAGGTGCAATCACAGTTCCTATACACACATAGTCAAAATACACACGCTCGATCCCATTGACATTCTGTCCCTTTTCCACCGTTGCTGTTCCACAAAACAAACGGGATTTTTGTGTTTTGTTTTTTTTCTCGCACCATACATACGAAAATTTAGATAAACAAATTTTGTGAAGCCAATACACAAAGCCGTCTCTGCGTTAATGGCACGCACAAATGGCAACATAAGAGATCGATATAGATATAGCGTCTAGAAATTACTCATTTATTCACTTACACAAGTGTGTGCACATGCACGGTAGAAATTCAACGGCATAAACACAACACACAGCATAGTACATACACAATAAAATATGTATGAGCACGAGTGAACGGAGTGAGTCAGTGGGCGAACGAGTGAGCAAGAGGCAGAGAAGGCAATGACTGCCGTTATATTGTAGCTAAATACAGTTTTGGCATTTTACGTTCATTATTTTCCAACTGCTGGATGTGCATGGTGGATGAGCCTTCTTCACGCGCGCCAAGCGAAAATACTATAGAGAAAATTTATTTGGGGTAGTAGCCGTATGAGCTGAGAGACAATGTACATTTCGAATTTAGCGTGAACAAATATATATATATATATATACGGTTTTAGTGTGTGTATATATATATATATATAGATAAATAAACATCGAGAACGGGGTGGATGGAAATTGTACGGTTCAATGCCGGGTGCTTAAGATGGAATATACACACAGAGAGTGTGTGTATGTGTGTGTGTGTGTATGCTCCGATGGAGATTTACATTTACGTTGAAATATTTTAGCGTCAAAACCGACACTATTGTACTCTCTCTCTCTCTCTCCATACACACAACGCGAGCTAGCATTGTATCGAGTCTCTCTGTGTATTTTGCTCCATATGAATTTCCTTATTCGATCAAAAGCAGGCAATCCGCTCTAAAAAGCACAAAGCACCGAAACCATTACCCACGATGTTTACGCTGTTCTATGCTTGATTTTGATGGCAGTCATCGTCTCTCACTCTCTCTCTCTCTCTTACTCTTTTTCAATCCCATCTTTGTCTCTCACTGCATAAATTTAACTTAAATGTGGCTTTCGACTAAAAACATCAACCGAAGTGCGAATAGTTTGTAGGACAAAGTTAAAACAATAGCATTAGGCGTGAGCCCGTATTTGCATTCATTTGTTTTTGCGTAATCTAGGCAGTGAATGTACTGTACTATGGTATGCTGTGAGCGGTGTGCGTATGTGTATACTTAGGCCGCATTGTGTGTACATATGCAAAGTCGCATTCCTTTGCTTTGCCCAAAGATTAAGATGACAAAGTAAACGCTTGAATGGATTTATTATCCACAGAAGCGTTGTGTCTCTTGCAATCACAACTAATGCCACCTTTTTTTTGGATTGTATTCAAGGCATGACTTTGTACCGAAAACCGCTATTGTCGCTCGATTTAATTTCGCACGCATTTCGAATTTATGCATGTGTTGTGTATGTGGCTTTCTATTTTGTTAATTTCTGGCTTCTACAATTGAAAGCTCACAATTCCGAGTTGATTTGCCAAGAGACAAATGCCACCAACAATTACAATCGAACAAATCAATAGCAAGAGTATTCGCAATTTACTTATGGAAATAAAAAGCGTCAGAATCACTTCATTATTTAACGGAGCATTTGCTGAATACAACACTGCTGTCTACTTCATTGTCAAACAGTTGCAGTGATATCATTTAACGAGAAAAATATTTCATTCAGTCTGAAACTGTGCAAAGCGTTTATCCGTGCCATTTTTTTCTCGCCATTATGCGTCGTGTTATGCTCATATACACACACACACACACACATGAAACGGTTCTATTATACAAAAGAATCATCTTCATCCATGAACATTTTATTATTTTGGTATCACGCTCATTTTTGCTAAAATGATTCTACTGCTGTTGCCGCTGTTACTCCTAACATTCTCAGTGAACGAGCAATATGCGATCCTATTCAGTTTGATAACTAGTGTGTGCTGAACAAAAAAAAAAAAAAAACAACACGAACATACTCTATGCTCCGAATTCGCTTTTGTTCTTAGAATAAATCTTAATGAACTCGTGACGATTAAAGAATATCACGTTGCTGCATCGAATTCCATCTTAGGTGTGATATTTGTTTTCGTTTTATTATACGTTACATTCGCGATCACTTTCATTCACACATTTTGTGTGGTCTATGAATAGAGTCGAAACACTTTTCGCATGGTTTATTCACCATTGTTTGCATTGCGATGCATTGGACTGTGCAAAACGGTTTCAAATCTAAGCATATCGCATGTCTGTTTCTGGGAGTTGACTGTGAATTAAATTGAATATTATGCGAATAAAGTGCATGAATCGTCATTTGGTCTATAGTCTCTGCATGAAACGGTCTACATTTAAAAAAATTCTTTTTGTCCATCGTCAAAGCCAGTGTGGATTTGCTTTTTTGAAAGCTATTATATCATATGATGCAGCTGCAACACGAAACTATTTAGCAATGAATTTTCAAGAGAATATAAATTTTAACGAGAGAAGAAAAAAATTCCGGCATGAAAAACAACAACAACAACAAAATCTGAGAATCGCAGCAATTCAAACACTTGATTTAATTTCCAAAAATTACACTACAACTTTTCGTCTCGCCTCAGCATCGAGCGGCAAGCATTCGAATGATAATTTTCACTAGCAAGACTCAAAAATGCATTGTACAATAAATTGCAATTAACTTTTCGCAGTGATGCGCCGGAAACTTTTGGTTTTGTCTATATTTTTTACTCTCTTCCTTCATTGCATTAGTACACAACCTCCATTATCTTATGGTTTAGCGTGTTTTTTTCACTCTTTTTCCTCTCCCTCTCTCACTCTCCCCCCCCCCCCTCTCTCTCTCTCTCTCTCAATTCAAAGTGCATATTTAAAATGATTCCCTGTTTGTGGCTCTCTTTTACATGCGCCCGTATTACAAACGAAACGAGAGACAGAGAAAAAAAGCGCCAAAGAGATTATAAAAAAAAGAAGAGAAATAAAAGAGCGAAACATGGTGGAATAGACGAGAAATAGCGGGTGAGCGAGAGAAAGGAACGCGAATATTATGATAAGTGGTGCTTAGAGCTGCACAGTGAAACACCCACCGCAAGCTAAAGTAAAAAATTCCATAGCAGTCCAATGCCTTTCACGGATAGCACTTTTTCATTCTCTACTTCACATAGGTGCTTTGGCACAATGAAAACCGAAACATCAAATGAGAGAAGCAACAACAACAAAAAAAAAACAACATCGGGCTGAGGAGGAAATTGATGTGAGCCCTCAATGTGGTGGCTTCAAGTATGATTCAATCACATAATTCTTTTTCGTGTTGGTAGAATGAAAATTGCCACACTTTAAATATTGAATAAATGAAAGAGAGAGAGAGAGAGAGAGAGAGAGAGAGAGAGAGAGAGAAACGGCAATATTGTCACAGTGAACAGCGGATAAGCATTAGTCATACTTTATTCAAGAAGCCATGTCCAATGATTTCGGCTGCTCAATGCATACCACCAATCGAATTTGGATTAAACCAAAAAACAAATATCCAGTTTTTTTTTTCGTGAGTGTGTAAATCGTTTTTTATTTTTATTTTTCGCGGTAAACAACAAAGTGTTTCATTTGGAATCGGGTTTAACGGGATCAGTGTGGCAATGCCGGTTTCATTTATTGTCATCAGCAAATTAATCGATGTGCGATTTTGAGCTTACCCCAAAAGTAACACACACACAAAAAAAAGCACACATATCGAACGATAACTCATTAGTTTATCTTTATTGTGCAATTAACTGTGTCACTTTTATGGCTCATATTTTGTCTCCTTCTCTCTCTTGCTTCCTCTCACGTTATCTCCTTTTCTGTTCATGTTTCATTCAATTATACCACAAATAATGACATACGGAATGTTATAATCGAAAATTAATATGTCAGATTACAAACGGTCAATTTTATACGTGCAAAGCGAAAATAAGAAACAAAATGACTAGCTCTTTCGTTCATTCATTTCATCGTATCCATGTGCTAGCTGAGTGTGTTGTCAGCGTTTTATGCTAAATTTATTAGAAAATATAATAAGTTGGTTGATTCATGCGTCTTACCTTTCGGGATCCGGTGTTTGTGTGTGTGTGTCTCTCTGTCTATCTGGCGATGAATCGATCAGTGGCGGGCGGACGGACAGTCGGTACAACTGACGTACGTACGATCGAACGCAAGTGCGCTCCAAAACAATATGAGACAATGAATCGGTATTTTATTTGCTTTCGAATCAGTTCAGTTTTGACACGTTTGTCACTTCATTTACCGTCGATAAGAAGTTTTAATAACAACCGATAAACCAAACATAGCGAAATTCTTGATAAGACTCAGGCTTTTTTTTAAACAGAAAAATAAAAGGTTTTTCAAACCTTCGGAAATGTCTATGTCGCTGTTTCCTGTTTACACACAAAATAATATTGATATGTACAGTATGCTCCACAAACGAAGAGACGAAAAAAAACACACCACCAAACTGAATTTGGTATAGAAGTAGTGTATTTGTGTGACAATGAAAACCAATTTCAATCGGTTCGGCTACTGCCACTTCAACTCTATTTAGTCTATGTTTATTTAGTGTTATGTACTGTTTTTTCCTCTCCAAGTCGCTCTCTTTACTTCGTTTGTGTTTTCTATAAATGTGAAAATTGTGTGTTGAATAGCACCAAATGAACCGAATTGATTGAAGTGAACAAACACTTAATGAACTTCTTTGCATTGAATGGAATCCATTCGACGAATTTTCATATATTGTGTGTCTGTTTGTGTGGTGTGCTGTTGTTGTTGTTTTTATTTCTATGCTTCTCTTCTGACCCCGTTCATTGCATGCACTTGAATCGATTGTTAGTTTGTTTCACACATTGTAGATACGACAGATTCAATTTTCTTTCATACTCATCTCTCTCTCTCTCTCTTGCGCTATCGCTTACTTGCTCTCTCACACTCTCTTCAGATGTTAAATGCGATTTATTGAGATTTGACACGCACAATAATCCACATACACATAATGCACGCATCAGTTTCTTCCGAATTGAGAATATATCTCTCGTTCTTTCAAAGTTTACGTAAAACTGTTATTTCTTTTTCATACATGTATATATTTTGAATTATAACTTTACATTGTTTTACGTCTCTCATGTACCGTGTGTTTATGTTCGGTTTGGCAAGCATGCAGAAAAAAAGAAACAACACATCGATACGGTCTTCGATGGAATGGCAGTTCTTCACACATATATGCACATAACGCGAAAGAGAGAACGAGGTAAACAAACACGGTTCATTTTTTCTTCTTTCATACAAATTTCTATCGATATGTTGTTGTCAGTTTTGTTTGGCTGCATCTAATAATTGTACGTTCACAAATGCAATCGAGCGCGTTTTCTCTCTTGTTTCTTGTCTCTTCGATTCAGTTCACGATCGTTTGATTTTTATTGTTCGTTCACAATGTTGAATTTGCACTTGACATCAAGCGTAAAATAAGTCAATAATCGCAATTAAATTTGCCACCAAATGTTAAACAAGCGAATCAGTTCATTGATTTAAATATACACAAATCAAAATCAAAACACTGGATCGATTCAGAATTCTTTCTCTCGCTGTTTTAAATAACAAAACATAAAACAATCAAGCACAAATAGCGTCACTCACGGTTGCTCGCTAAATTTTGCTGTTACCATTCGGAATTAGATTATTCGATTTTGTTGCCGAAAATGGTGTTAAATTTTCGGTCGTTTGTTGGAGTGCGGAGTGAATGAGTTGATGGGTTACCTCCGTTTGTATTTATTTATGACATTATTATGGGCACACAAACTTTATTATGCGTGTGTGTCTGTGTTTATGTATGGTGTTTGTGTTCTTAAATTCTTGGTACTTTTATTTTGACGCGCGGTAGCGACAACGCAAATGGCTCCAATCCGACGAAATGTTCTCCAGAAACTGATTTCAAATGAAATATTCCTTCAGATTTATTTTTATTTATTCGAGTTTTGGGTTGTATGTATTGCGGTTCAGAACAACCGTATGTACACAAATACATACACACGACGGCCAGCGAGAGTGTATGCGTGGCGAATTTGTTGACACTGGCATGGCGAAGTATAGTTGCACGATACACACTGACACCGTCAGATCAACACCGATACACATTTATAGGTTTGTGCAAATGCGAGAGAAACGAATGTGCGATTCTTTTGACGATTGAAATAAAAATCTTCTGAATTGTCGAATAAAATTGAAAGACTGAATTCAAGATAAACCGACACAATTTTAATCGAAAAAAAGTATATAAGAAACCTTTTAAATCCACAAACATGAATATTGAATGAACAATTTTCCACGCTTCTTTGTGCTGAGGGTGTCGCGTGCGTATTCTTAGACGCAAGACTATGAGCAAAAGCTGTGTGAAATGTGATTTAAGCAGATATAAACGCGCGCACACATACAAACAAACAAGCAAGCAAACACAGTACGCACATATAAATTCACTTGTACGCACGGCGTTTTGCATTTGCGATGAAAGTAAATACAAAGTCAAAGTAATGAATGGCACAAGTGTGAACTGGCAAGCATTGGTGGCCCTCTCGCTCGCTTGTGTGACATCGTCGTCGTTGTCGTTGTCGTCGATGTAATATACAAACAATGGATGTATGTGCCTATAGACGATGTGAGTTAGCCGCGTCGCACACACTTGTGAATGAATTGGCCATCAATACAAATTCACGTTAGCATTTAATACAAAGACACACGGGCTACACTACGAATGCCAAACAGAACGGAACGTTCTTCGGTGGCTTCCCTTCGTTTTTTTTTTTTTTGGCAGCAGCAGCAGCGGCGGCAACAGCGACGATAGCAACGATACGATGGTAACCAACGCGATTATTTGCGCACTTACACCAAGAAAGGCACGCGCCATTGTATTGGTGACGCCGTTATCGTCGTTGTCGTCGCTGTCGCTGTTGTTGTTGCTGTGTTTGTTATTGTAAATGTTCGTTTGCCGTAATGTTTTGGTGTTGCTACTTACGATACATGAGTAAATTCGGTTCTTAGTTCTGAAGAGCACTTACTCCGTTCCGAAAAGTTTCGTCGGAAAATTGCGAGGCGAATGTGCACAACGAACCGATCGACACAGAGAGAAAATCAGAAAGAAATTTCCAATGTGAATCACTACCGTCAGAGCGCGCGAATGAATTTTATTTGGCAATCAGCCCATTTTATTTACCAGCGCCGAAAGGGAAGCGAAATTTTTTCGAATTTGAAATACAATTTACATTGGTGTACATAGGCGATAGCAGAAACGGCAGCGGTAGCAGCCGTCGCACTTTACCGGCATGCACGATGCTTTATCGATTCAGACAGTGCATTTATGCGAATAAGAGAGCAAGTAGCTTCGTCCCCAATGTGCATGCACTCGAAATTGTCTGTCTACTTGCTTGCCTGCCGTTCCACCCGCTATCTTTTCCCTTTGATCACAAACGCAAAACAAACTCTTCAGAGTCCTTTCTTTAAGATATTTCGCCTCGTTGATTTGTGTGTGTCCACAGCATATATTTTGGTTTGGTTAGTTGGTTGCCTGCTTGTTTTGTACTTACGTCTAACGATGACTTTCACTTTCACTGCATTAATTTCCATACTCAACGCTTTACCATTGTACTTCAGGGCTAGAACGGAAAAAGAACTCTGTTTGATGTGTGTGTGTGTGTGTGTGTGAGAGAGAGAGAGAGAGAGAGAGAGAGAGAGAGAGAGAGAGAGAGAGATGGAGTAAGGGAGTTTGAGAGAGAACGAGATAAGAGTGAGCAATATTGCATTTCAAATAGCATGATGTGAACACAATAAAAAAGCAGTGACCTTTCTATAAAATGCTAAATACGTCATCACCTCCACATCAAATAAAATAACGCATTTTCATGGAGATTATTTCGAATGAGTGTTTTATTCCCTCTTGTGAGAAAGGCGCATTCGCACGCAAAAGCCTTCGCACCTCGTAAATATTCGTTGTTGTTTTTTTTTTTAAATTACGAGAATCATGTGTGTAACCCATGCCATTCAACATATTCAATGAACAGCGATGGATAAAACATTGACATTTATAAAATTCATTTTGGTCGCACACTGCACAGCACACACCCTTTTAATGTGAGGCCCGAAGGAAGCATTTTGTCACTGCATCCGAATATTCATTTAACACAAACGTGTGCGAGAAAGAGAAAGAGAAAGAAGTAAAAGTAGTGTGTGCTCCTCCATATCATATCGTATTTGGTGACAATTTTAATTGCCGAAACCTACGGAGAAAAAAAAATAGTAATCCTTGCATCAAATGAAACAATCTGTTTGCCTAATTATTGTTAGTTGGTTGTGCTGAAACATGTTGGTTTAAATACTTTTTCCCCATTCCCATATATTTTCATTCTGTCCTTCTTCTTCTTCTTCTTCTTAGCTTTATTACGTGTGAATCGTATAGCTGAAAAGGTCGCAAAACTTTTCATAAATTTCAACGCTTAGTTCCTCATATTTTTATTTAATGACTATAACTGCAGCGAGCGAGTGAGCGAGAGAGAGAGAGAGAGAGAGAGAGAGAGAGAGGAAGAGAGGGAAGTTCAAATATTCATTTAAATTAATGGCCAACATGTGGCATAATATCGTAAATTCAAAAACTGGAGCGACTGGGAAAAAAAGCAGCTCATAATTTCTCATTTCTCTTTTGAATTGGAGTATAAAGGAATTCGTTTTCAACACCCAACAAATTTAACAGTGCTAGAATGTTGAAAGAATTCGTTCAATGGCGCGCGCACAGTGATCTCTGAAAACAAAACCGAAGCAGAAATAAATCGCGAAGAAAAAAAAACAGAAAAAAATGAATGTTTTATTTTGCTAAAAAAAGTTTAAGGAGCATTTAATACCAAATTCCACACCGAAAACTAGGAGAGCATATAAGCCATTACAAAGAAACCGATCGATAAACAAGGCCAATATGCATAAATTTATCGCCATTTCTTCAAAAACAATTTCCAAATATTTGCTTGAGTTTTTTTTCTCCTCTGGCGGCACGACCAAACGACGAGAGCAAAAGACCAAACATCACGACAATTGCCCGAAAATGGTAAGAAATTTAGTCGTTTGAGAACTATCCAAAAATCTAAATTACGTAATCGAAAGTCATTGGCATTGTATGTGCGAGCAAGCGAACGAGCGAGCTCATACACGTGAATAACGAACAGAAGAAGATCAGTGTGTGATGTGCAGATGACTAATAATAAACCTCAAGTGTTGTTGATATTTAGTGTCAAAACCACGGAAATTAAATGGCCAAGCAATTGACATCGAAGATGTAATTTGATGCGAGCAAATGAGCGTGCGCGTGTCCACAAATATGGATGGTGTAGCGAAGCCATGTCGCGCGCGTATTTATGGGTAATTATTATATTTATTATTGGTGTCGATGTACCTAGATGTGTGTTCATTCAGTGTGCATGCTGCACTCACCTCCCATGCACCGAAGTCGTAAAAAGAATATGCATACAAAGTAAGTACAGCTAAGCCGTTTACACTATCACATCATCGTCGAATAAATCAAAGAATGTGTGAAAATGGATCCAATGCACACGTTTACCCAAACGAAATCGTTAAATCAATCCCGTTTCTGCTGCTGCTGCTGCTGCTGCTGCTGCTGCAACCTCTGTCAATATCGTTCTAAGCAATAACCATTTTTACGTTGGTCATATCGCGCTTATTGTTATGGCCAAAATGACACATTATTTACGCAAATTAAATGCAACGATTGAAAATATTGACATTTTCACTCGAAATCGTTGGTGGTAAACGATCATCAATTGCAGCACCGTAGTGCAACATTGATGGCAATTATATGTCTAAATCAATTCGGTCAATGGAAAATATACATATCTGATGCCAGTAAAAATGCCAATTTTATTGAAATTGCAAATATTCTTGGCGTTTGTTGATGGTGGCCGTTTGCTATCGTCTCGTCACCGTTGTCTTCGTCGTTCGCCATTGTGGTTGTCGTCGTCGAATGAAGCGCCTACCTGACGAATAAAAACAAAATAGCTTAACTGACTGTTTTCACCCGTAAATACATTTTCAATACGACAAACAGTAACCATAAATACGAAAGCGATAGTCATTTTCTTGTTAGCTGTAATTGTATTTACAGCCTATTTTGCATTTCTTCTTTTTCGTCTCTTCAAATGGTATTTCGAAGCCACACAAATGCCATCGTAGAAACAACAACAACAACAACACATTACAAAATATCTATTTTTTCCCCATTTCATTTCTATTGCTGTGTTATTTTTTCTGTTTCTTGCTGCAGATAATTTAATGAGCAACACTTAAATCTAGCGGAATCTAATCGTAATGCGTTTCATTAGAGGAAAAAAAAAGAAGAATTTACTACTTTCTATGAATGGGTTTGCCATTTCAATTTTATGATAATTTCCGAATCGACATACAAATCAATTGTTTACACAAAATCGTATCTCTTTCTCGTACGGTTCAATTTATCGAAATTTATTTGTTAATGCTTTGTTTTGGGTAAGATAGGTGTGCGTTAAATGTCAATCGGTCACTTTCTAACTGTTAAAAGTTAAATCGTTTATCCGTCAGACAAAAATGTATGCTCTCAATGATGATGCCTTGATGGTGATTGCTAGTGAATTTCGTTATTGCCCGACAAAATTCGTGATCGTATTCATTCGATTGGCTAATTTTTATGGTGTGATGATACTGATCGCAAGCGCGACGGCTTTGATTACGCTTACATTTTCTTTTTCCTTTTCGACTGTCAACCAATTTATAACCACGAAAAAAAAGAAGTGTTTAAATGTGATGATCCCCTCATAATGCTTTCACCTTTAGCAAATTCTCTGCGAATCTTTAAATGGGGCATGCTTTGACAAAAATTTACCGGAAAAAAAAACAAAAACAATAGTTAATAAATCTTTGCTAAAATTGTTCAAGGGGGAATCGTATGCGTAACAAACATTATAACTTTATTATGTAAAATATTTGGACATTTTCTGAACTCTTTTCCTGATCTAGTTTTTTTTTTCTCCCATTGATTGTCTTACATAATGATAGAAACGAAATGTTTCTTAATTGAATTCTTTATACTTGAAATAAACTTGGAAATTCAATGCCGGTAGCTGCAACATCTATGACTTAATGCGAAATACAATTGAAAAAAATTTGTCCAAAATTATTTGCGTCCGCCATATTCACAATTGGCTTATTTTTTGTCACAGCCGGCATTATCACTAAAATATTTGATTTCATTCAACGAACGATCACCAAACTAAAAACTTTTATTCGATTTTTTCGACTGGATCGAATCGAATACGCCGATAAACTGAAACATCAGTTGTCGCTGTTCGTTATCATTTTGAAAGTGATGCACAATATCAAATCAACACGACCGTCCATTCAAAATGGAACGACGACGAATGTTGACGGCGAAGGTGGTCATTAAAAAAAAACACGACCAAATTGAATGTTTTATTTTAGAAAGAAGCCTTCTCTGACCTCGTTGATTTGAGGAGTGAACGACAGGAAAAAAAATACCAATGACCTGTCAATCTGAATGTTTGAACATTTTTGCATGGTGGCATTCGAACGATATTCGAATTGACAAGAAAGAAAAATCGGTGATTTTTTCGAGAGAAAGCGTTTGCATTAATTTGAATGTGCTAGCGAAAATCAAGCGTTACATGCGAGAAGTTTCCATGCTAAAACACTAAAATTTGACAGAAAAAAAATACATATGCACAGCGTTGTCTAGCTCATTTAACATACGGTCAATTCAAATGCAAATCGATTCTCTCATCGTCATACGTATAATAGCAATCGTCATCTTCGTCGAAGAGAAGATCTTCGTTCGAGCCCAAATGGCATTGACAACCAAGCGTCTCAACAACGAAAGAAAAAAAAAATCACCGTCAAATGTGTCGCATATTGTGATTCAAATTGGGCAGGTTGAATGGGACATGAAAATTGAAAGTTCTATTAACTTAATAATGGTATTAGCAGAGAATAGGCATATGTTTTAACACATAGGCCCATATAATGGGCCCGTTATTCATAATTGACAACCATAAATGATCATTGCAGGCATTCAATCAAAATTACCGAAGAAGGAATAGCAGTCAAAAGGAAATGACAGCAACAACAAAAATGAGATATGAAATATGAACTCTGTCATTCTATTTATCTTTTGGTGTCAATAAAAGTAAAGGGTGCAAAATGAAATACCAACCCACCCACCACAAGATTGGGTAACAATTTAAGTAGTGCAAAATTCCTCGATTGATTGATTAATTGATCGATAAAGACAACTATACGCAATTCCTTTCCACTGATTGAAAGCTGTAAAAAGTTTTTTTTTTTTTGGTTGGAGGACGAGATTATCGAAGCACATTTCACTTTTTGGACGATTGGTGTGCTCGTCTATTGACTTACATGATGTTCTTATCTATTATGGATCAGTTTGTTGCTTGGATGAGGATGCAGCTAACCATGGTTATCGAATTTTCCACGAATGGAAAAAAAAAGTGCATTCACATTTCATTACGTATAACGTGATAAAATTAATTTACCAACGCGATATCTTGGCCGGCCGATCGCATTTCAATGACACAATATTGTCGTCTTTTTTTTATCTCCACATGGCGGAAGAGATACTGCATGTGATTAATTTAGCGCTTTCAAGTGAATGTCGTTTGAATTTGTTTGAATTTGTTTTGTTAAGTGATCGTGTTACGTTTTTTTTTTCTTCAACAAATGAATATATCAATAAAAGCGGAATGCACTGAAACGCTTTGGTGGCGGCGATTGCCGCACATTTTCACGTAACATTTGGTAAAGTAGATCAAAAATGCTAATGTAATCAATTGATTAATTAATTTGGACTTCATTTTATTTTCAATCAAGTGTTTGTTGGTATATTATCATCGAATGAACAGCGAAGAAAACACACAGAGATAACAAAAACCGACCAATCCTAACAACGGTCACCGTCATTTAAATTACGTATGGTATCACACACACACAGTGTGTATTTTTAGTGCAATTTTTGATGTTATAGTTTTAGGGCATTGTGTAATGCCGTCCATCCGGTGTGTGGGAAATGAAGGAGCTGGTATAAAATCGTTGTGTTCATTTGATTTGTCGTCAGTTCACAACATTCGTTTCCATCGAAAGGATTAACAACACCAAACCAACGATAATCAGGGTGGAGTACATTTTATACGACTGTAGTGGATAACTATTTTCTGTTTGGATTTTTTTTGTCTTGTTCGGTGTCTGTGAAAAGTAAAACAATGCGTGCATTCGTGGTGTTATCATTTGTTGTGTGTTTGGTTGTTGCAAAGCCACAGTACAGTGGATATAATTATGAACCACCGACGGCTTATCAAACAAGTGGATTACAACAACAATATTCGCTAACAGCTGCCACAGCAGTAGCTGTGCCACAGACTCAGTACACTCAACCACAATCGTACGCAGCATATCCTTCCCAAGGTCAATATTACCAATCATATCCGACTGTAGCTGCACCACTTCAACAGCAAACCGCATTTGCAAGCGCTGGCCAATCAGCCATTCAATTCGATCAAACGTCGTATACAAGTGCAAACGCAGCTCCTCTTCAACAAACTGCATATGCAAGCGCAGACCAAACTCAATTCCAACAAGCTTCATACGCAACGGCCAATCCAGCACCACTTGAGCAAACGTCGTATGCGGGTGCAAGCCAAGCTCAATTCGATCAAACTCAATTCCAACAAGCGTCCTATCCAAGCGGAAGTCCAGCACCATTTGAGCAATCGTCATTTGCCAATGCAGGTCAAGCTCAATTGCAACAAGCTACATATGCCACGGTGGGCCCAGCACCACTTGAGCAATCATCGTATGCGGGTGCAAGCCAAGCTCAATTCGATCAAACTCAATTCCAACAAGCGTCCTATCCAAGCGCTAGTCCAGCACCACTTCAGCAATCGTCATTTGCCAATGCAGGTCAAGCTCAATTGCAACAAGCCTCATACGCAATAGCCAGTCCATCACCACTGGAACAATCGTCGTATGCAAGTGCAGGTCAAACTCAACTCGATCAAACGCAATTCCAACAGACTGCATACTCAACCGCAAGTGCACCTCTAGAGCAAACGGCCGGAAATCAATTGGCCTTGCCATTGCCAACAGCCGCTTCGTATGAAACACAAGGAGGATTCCAACCAAGTCAAGGTTTCCTTCCTCAACAAGAGCCAACACCTGCAACGACCTTCAACGGATTAAGTGGATTTACTGCACAACCACAAGTATATCAATCACAACCACAAGCCTATTCAAATGGAGCCGCCTATGATCAATCACAATTTTTCAACGTTGGCGCTTCCTACGCCAGCAATGCCAATTTCGCACAATTGCAACAATATTCAGCACAATTGCCTCAGGCCGTCGGTCAACAACACACTACAAGCGGTACATTGGATTCATTCAACATTCAATCGACAATGGGACCAAATCCTGCTGATATTGCACCGGCCGCTCCATCACCGTCAGCCGCACCACAACAACAACAACAACAACAAGACGACGCTCAATATGCAGCAGAACCACAACAGCCACAGCAGCTACAACGAGAACAACCACAACAACAATTACAACCACAGCCACAACAAGAACAATTTCCACCTCAGCAGCAACAAGAACAATTTCCACTCCAACAGCAAGATGAACCAGCCCAACAGCCACAACAGCTACCGGGTCCAAATCAGTCACAAAACGTACTACCAATTGAACAAATTGCACCAGAACCAATTCAAGCACGGCAAAGAAGCCAACCACAACAGCAACAACAACAAGGACCATTTACAACCATTCAAAAACACATCTATGGTAAAAATATTTTTTTATTCTGATATTTTTCATATTTTGTTGCGTAAAGCCCACTTTCGAGTTGATCGTAGACAAAAAAAAAAATCTTGAACATTCCAAAATTGTGGATCAGTCGTGATTGGAATCAGTTTGTTGTCAAGAAAAAAATGAAAGGTTCCTCTTACGAATGTAAATCATTTTGCCGGTGAATGTTACATCATATATGGCTTTAGAAAGGCAACTGACACGATCAAATTATTATCGCAAAAAATCTGCTGAATATTCAATACGCCATGACACATTATCTTTTGAAGAGAATAACAAATTAAATTCATGACGCGATTGTTTTTCGCGATATATTTTCAATTTGGTTTTCCATAATGCGTTTTCATTTGAATATAGTGTTTTTTTTTATTTGTATTGTAATGCTATTAGTGGATCATGATTGAATCATAGACTCTTTTACTTCCGTATAGTACACGTACCACCACCTGGTTTTGAAGAAGATGACAAACAATTGCCCGCAGTCGCTCCAGCATTGGCTAATAAAAAACGCTACAACATTATTTTCATCAAGTCACCAAATGTTCAACGCCCAACATTGATTCAACAACAACAAAGCGAAGACAAAACCATTGTATACGTTTTGGTGAAGAAACCAGAAGATATTACTCAAGTCATACAACCGCAAACTAAACACGACAAACCGGAAGTATTCTTCATCAAATACAAGGCTCAAACCGAACAAACACCAATTGAAGCCGAACAAAACGGAGACGGATCTCTTCAACAGCAATCCGAACAAACTGACGATCAACTTAACGAAGCAATTGTCGTTGGAGATCGATCGAAACAGCCATCGCAAGCTCCTCAATTCCCAGCGTTGGAAGGAAAGGAAGCTCAAGCTTTATTGCGCGAAGAAGAAGAACCACAACGTGAAGAGTATCAACAACAACAACAACAACAACAACAGCAGCAACACGCATTGCCAGTACCCGCACCATTACCAAGCAGAGCACCTGCAAACGCAGGCATTTCACCACTGCCAATCGACTTTGCACGCATTCCAGCCGCTTCATCACCAGCACCACCACAAAATTACCTGCCACCACAATAATTTCGATAATTATTTAATCTAGGCTGTTTTACGCTGACTTACTCAGTATTTATTATTGTTGTTTTTTTTTGTTTCTTTATTTAATGGAAGAAGGCGTGAAATTAAAACAATTGATTGAACGCAGTAGTCAGATTGTTTTAAAATTTAGTGAGTCAAAGCAAGAAAGAAAACGAAAAAGCAAGAGAAAAAATTGTTAGAAAAAAAAATATATAAAAACAAATCTCATCAAAAATTAAATGACGCTGTGTTTTTTTCTTTCTGCAAATCGATTAACATTATGAGAGATTTCGATACGTAAATTTGATGAGAGAGCGGTTTGTTTCCGCTTAAAAATGTGCTGCTACTGCTGATGGCTATGTAGAAAGTGATGGTCATACTATCTGATGGAGCGTGTAGCAAATATCATGCACACAACATATGATTCTGATCTAAAGATACGGCCAATATTAACCAATGTCCAAATAATGAAAGTGAATATGATTGAAAATGAGAGGAAGTGTTTGGCTGACGTGCATCTGTGTGTGTGTGTGTGTGTGGCCGTGTGCTGTTAGAGGGAGAAATTAAAGAAATAAATTAGCAGTGTGCGCGCTTGCGGTCGCCATAAATAAATAAATAAATTTTTGTTGAAAATGTTCGAAAATGGATGGTTTTCACTTCTTTTTCGTCACTTAAGCGCGCACCGCTCTCGCTCCGTCGATCGATAAATTTCTAATTATGACATCATTTTTGGAATCATCGAATCGTTTGTATGTAAATCATGTCTGATCTCGTTTCCATTATTTTGCATTTCTGTGCCGGAAATAATGGAGCACACAGATTATCTCTCTCATTTATTGGTCGAAAAGAAAGAAAAAAAAGACACACACAAAAAAATCGAGCGAGTAGACTGCTTTTATCAGATATTGTAAAATTGATTGACATTTTACGTTTAGGTTCCGTTCGTCGAATCACACATCCTCATTTGGTGTGCCGTTCGTTTTTTTTTTTTAAATCGGTGTTTGTCTTTCATTCCCACAACTTTTGCGGATATTTCCGAAAAAAAATATTGACTGACCAAAAGCGTGATCGACATCATCGTGATCGACGACGGCCACAAACGAACTTTCGGTGAAATTTATGCTGATTTGAAAACGTTTTTGTTTTGTTTTGGTGTTTGATGATGGTTTTGAATACATACACATGATGGAAAGAAAGAGCATTAACATTTCTCTCACTTTTCTCTCTGTCGTCTCTTCACTGCACTGCCATCGCCTATACCGTGTGGCCAATTCATCATCATTCGGATGCGAAACGGAAATTGTATCACTAGGCAAATTAACCAGTCGAATTGATGACTAATGTCAAACCGAATTGATGATATCCAAATGGCAGTGAGGGTAGATGAAAGTTCAATAAAAGCCACTCGATCACTTTCGCTAAGTATCAGTCTGAGTTGAACTAACAACGCAAAAGAAAGTGTGTGATCGTGCACAAGTTGAAAGCCAAGAAAAAAATTGCTTTCGAAGCGGATCTATTAAAATGAAAACATTTATTGTGATCTCGTGTTTGGTTCTGGCCGCAACTGCCAAACCACAAGGATACGTTTACGAAAAACCAAACAATGATGGATTAAGTGTTTCGCTTCTATTGCCACCATCTCAGAATCATCAGATTCCAACATCGTTTCCTGTAAGTTTGTTGTTGTTGTTAATTCGATCATCAATTTAAGAACGAGAGGAAAAATTTGTAATTGTTTCCGTGTAAAAAAATGTTCAATGCAGTTGAAATTGCAAAATATATGACACCCATAGAATGAAAAAAGAACTTCTGAACTCTTTGCCGATAAATGAAACGAAAAAAAACTTAGAGCAAAAAAGAAACAAATGAAGTTGCGAGCAAAAGTGACACAAGTAGCC